GGCCAATCCAGAGGCTTGGGAACAAGCGCTGGGGACCAACAGTATGTAAACGGAATCTTGAGTATTTCTGCAATATGCGGGCCTTCGAAAGTAGCCACTTCATCCAACTCGAGGTCCTTTTTCCGCCATTCGTTGATCACGTCGCCCAGTCTAGGAAGTCTAGGTTAATATTTACTGATCGTGATGAAACATAATTTTGGTCCTCCCTACCCTTGCCATGTAAGCCAATCCACCACGCCGTAAGAGATATAGTTCTTCAGGCTTGTGTCTCCCTTGGCCCCGCTCATGTTCGCCAGTGGGTGTGGGAACGCTTTTGTGCTGCTCCAGGGCATCGTGAACATTAGATGGACCGGGATACTCAACGCCTGAGCACAATGGATGTGAGCAAAGCTCGGCGGATTAGCGATAATCGCATCAGCCACAAAGGGCGCTCGTGTATGCATATCAGGTTCAACGCAGGATCGCCAGCACCCGCGCAACATTTCGCGGACCATGATGCGTTTGCGCTGGATGTCGCCCGCCTGCAGGCTCTCTATACTTGGAATCAGGCCGGGGTTCTTCACCATATACGCCATCAGGTCGGCTGGATTGCCTCCGATCGGATAGAACTCTAAGCCAGAGCTCGTCACGAAATTTTCAAACACGTCGTGCGTGGCTAGTCGTACACGATGTCCATATCGCTGAAGTTCATTTCCGAGGGCAATGAACGGTTGCACGTCGCCTCGGCTTCCAACGACTTGTATAACAATATTCAGCTTGAGCTTCCAGCTTTTTTCAAGTTTGACGACAGAATCGGAATAGTCTGGTGGCGATGCAGGGCTTTGTACTGGTTGGTCGGCCGAGCGCGGGTCCAGCTCAGAGTAACCTGGCGGTGGTGTTGTAGGTCGTCCAAGCAATGGACTTCTATACAGCTTCGAGAATCTCCGCACAAAGCTAGACTCCCAGTCGATGCTCACGCGGCCGTCATCTGCATATTTTATGTCAGCTGCTTTCAGACTCCTTGTGATCAGTGTTATGCATCGTACTGTCCATATGGACGCCATTGTGTCCAATGGTTGCGGCGGAGAGAGATGGAAGCATCACTGTTTCTGCCGGTAGCTCGAACACCTCCGAATTGGCATCGGACGTCATGGTAGCTAAACTCAGATGAAGTGACTGAAAACGAAAATCACAGTCTGCCAAGGTGGTGTTCCTGACTCCACGCCTCTTTGTAATCGTCCATGTTGGCAAAGGCCAAATGCCCAGCACAGACGTTCTTTGCCTGGAGCAGACCCAAAATTCCGTTTTTAGCAGCGGCAGCTGGGCGTTCTGGAATCTGGTCCGAGATGTTCACTGGAGCGAAGGGTCTCAGGACCCGCAGTCCCGATCGGCATGTGCAGCACTTACGTGTATAAGGTTCTCGCAATTTACGATGCAAATACGAGTACAGACCATGGAAGCCACAGTGACCGCAGTCCTAAAAATATAGGGCAAAATCGCACGAAGTTCTAACGTCCTTCCGTTCCACCATCTAGATCAGTTCCAGGAATCTTCTTCAAACCACGCGTTCACCATCGCTAAGCCTTTCAAGGTCTGTGCGCCGGCTACCAATTTCAGTATTGGCTCTAATCGACAACCGTCGATGCCATTCTCCGGACAACTTCGCTAATAATCGCGGAGCTGAATTAGAACTTTGCGAAAGAATGGCCCGTAATGGTCATGCATGAGTACACTACTCTGCACCGTACAACAAGAGATTGGCCAGAACTTCTTCTTTGACTCGAGCGACGGCGAATAAACTCGTGAAAAGATTTGCTGGCTTTGTTGTGATTCAATGGAGTCCAATTTCCTGGCACGGTTGATTTTGCTGTCCTGAAGAACATGTTGGGCCAGTAGCCAGCATCCAGGAACCAACCTGTCTCCTCGGTACTACAGATCAGTTGGCGCGGCTGGCATCACGCAGGACACCTATCTAGTTCTATGTTGGCTAGTCGTGGAATGGATGGAACATGGGAACAATTTCCAAGTATCCTGCAGCATTGACATGACCCTGTCAAAGCTCAATACTGCACGAAAAGCAAGCCTAACACCCGACCTTTGCACACCTAGGTGATCATTGCTCATGCCTTCTCGACTTCACAGCCTTCCAGTTATTGAATGTTTTCCCACGTTCCTCCAGCCTCTCTTACCACTCGGAGAGTCAGGTTCGGTACTCGGGCTCTTGTCGCAACGATAAGGACTCTTCCTGGGGCAGAGAGGTACTGCGAAACGATCAATAGATCTACATTTCTCATGATCTTACTGATATGATACTCTTTTCTGATCCGGTCGGTCCCAATTTCTTGTGACATTATACTCGTTCCCGAGTATACTTCTACATCGGCCGCCGTAGACGGGGCAGTACAAATAGTGCGTGGATCTTGTAAAGACATCTCATTACCCTTGGTTCATAGGTAGCCGATATTACTGGATGAAATGACAACGGCGAAGGCAAAATGTACACCATGGATCGCATTTGCCTCGAGAAAAAGATCAGAGAAACGGAGATCTGGCAGCATCTACCACTCCTTATTTCGATGTTGCTCGGTGAACCTTGGAAGAGAGTGTTGTGCCCCTCGTTCCCTATGATAAATGATTCTATGCGCAGTTCGTCAAGGCTCACTGTCCATGAGAAGAAAAGAATATCAGGGTTGCAATGTCACAGCTGGATGCAATGCCTCCTTTGTATCCGGATCGAACTGTCTCTTGGGTCTTGGGGGGTCATACTTTGAGCCCACTATATCTTTCCTGACCAATTTCGTGAGGAAGATGATCTCTCAGTGACAAAATTTGCAGTGTCAATGTTTAGGGGGCAGTACAAAGATGTTTCAGGCTCCCTTGCTGTCTTGGAGGGGCGGTTGTTTGCTGGTTGTGAGGGCTTTCCTTCCTATTCATGGACCGATCCCAGTCTCGGCTGACATAAGCTTTGGCAGCTAGTAGAGGGGCCATATTACAGCTCAGTCTATATACCACGGCCAGTTAAATGCTCATCAAGCTAATGTAACTCAACAGTTGATGCCTTAATAGGTTGTGATGGAGTTTCCTCCCTTGATGCTGCGTGGTGTGCGTGGCCAGGACCAGCTGTTGTCAAGTGTTGAGAGGTTTGGAGGTTTTCCCCTGCGTGGGCAGGTTTTCCCTTCTTCCTCTCCCCAACCCGTTCAGATCTCGTGCTGCTTCCTGTGCCTTTGGACCGTTGTAGGTCTCTCAGGTTGGCACAAACCCGAGATGGAGGGCTGATGGTGTGTCACCTGCTCGGGAGCCGAGAGACGCGCTTACGTCTTAGTCGGAGTGCTTATCTTGGCAGGGCCCCATTGAGGTTCAATAAACGACACCCACACCAAACTTGCTTATTTTCTCATTCGCTGTCCGCTGTTCTTGCAATTTTGTACTATTTCGAAATCGCTTCAAGTGATCACATCCAGCTGGAAGCTCTTATATCAAACAACATTGACTCACACGGTCTCACAGTCGCCATGGGAAATACAGACGTGCAACCTGCCAAACTACCATCAGGCAGTAGCGCCCAGCGCTCCTCTCGCAATTATACGCTCATAGAGGTTTTTCCCAACGATTCTGTCATCAAATACTTCGTCACACCGACTACAAGACACCCTTATTTGTGAGAACAACCATGCCCACATGGAGGTATATACTGAGCTGACTCTGGAAGCAGGTCAATGATCTTATGTCTGACCTTAACCTTTGCCCCTATTGCCACTTGCAGTCCGAACGATACAAGATGTGATCTGAAATCATCTGCAGTCGCATTCTTCTTTGGGTGTGTATTTGTATCGGTACAGTGCTACATGCAGTCACTTCACAAAAAATATCAGAATTAGCTTCAGTCATCGCAGGGCTGAGTGGGATATGGACATAAATATGTCTGGTGTCACGGACTTCGTAGAGTCACGACTCCGGACTACCCACAACTGAATCAATTTCGCAGCTCTTATGTACCTACCTACTGACTACTGGTAACTTGTAACATCGGGTTGGGTCAGTCAGCAACATCATATCCGTTCCAAAACACCTCAATGTTTATCATTAATACTACAACTATATGTATCAATATCAGCCGCCGTCAACATGTCCCATTCTGAACCTAGGAGGTAGCATCCTTAGGTATTGTCATTGACTGATTGAAAGTCAAACTGTCAATCCTGGAGCACTGCCGCCGAGGAAATGGGTAGCAGGGTAACCCGCTCGTGTGTTCCGCGATTCGGTCGGGACCCCAGTCGGAAGACGGCAATTGTGACCATCCCATTCAATTACCTTAGGCCGTCCTCCTCGGTCCCGACTCCCATGACAATGACAGCTAAGGTAGTTATACCATGGACCCAGATACCAACATTGTTAGACTTTGCCGCTACCCATACCTAACTTTCTTCCAATTCCCATTGTACGCATCGCTGCAACAGGGCAGTCACGGCTCACCTACCAAAAACATCTCGAATTTCTACTCTAACTTCCATTCTCGGAATAGACATCCAGCTGTGGTAAGCCTGCCGCTAGGTATCAAAGTCTCAGGCCAAACGCTTTTATATATCGCTGATTTACCCCCCCGCCTCCGAACAGGGCCCGCTTCCTAGGGAGCCTGCCTCGGATCTTATGGAGGCAGACCGGGAGGCAGGAGACGACAAAGCGCAATGGATGTTAGCAGCCCTGAAGATAGATAGAGGGGATCCCTTTCTGCTCCACAATCCACATCAACTCTTGCGCTTACGGGCATGTCCGAGACGGGTGGGACCTCTGGTCATGCATCCATCATGCTATATATTCGAAATAACCTCTTGCGAAAAGTCTGGATGCGATCATCAAAAAGATGACCGAACAGGGCCGGATGACTTTGAAGGTCGAGAAAGTCTCCACAAAGTTTACGTCCCTTGAGTTGATTCTCCTCACGTGAATAGTCGTCCCCCTATTCCTCTTGTGATATCTCCTGTGACCATAAGGCCCGCAGGCCGCAGGGTTGAAAAAAGTGATGAGGGCTACCAGATTTGAACTGATGACCTTGTGGACTGGAATCACACGCGCTACCGCTGCGCCAAGCCCCCACGCTTATTAATACTTGTGGCTTAATATATAATATAATAGAAATTTAATTTTCAAAGACTATCTGTACGGCGTGTACGCAGCTTCGCACATGCAGCCGGTAACTTACTGGAATTTGCAAACTGCAACATTAGCTCTGGCTGATAGCTATACTACTACATAATATCATATGAGGCATTGCTGAGGTAATCTTTGGGTACCACGGGTACAGGAGCTAGACCCCACCGTTCTCCGCCATGACAAAAGTCAAGTAAGGAAATTTGGATGTCTTGCTTGACATCATATAACGAAAGGGGTGCCTTAGAAATTGTATATCTGGACTAAGAGACCTTTTCAGCGCCCGGAAGGGCTTCGGATATGTCTTGGATTCAAATTCTATTGTACAGACATGATATGCATCTTGTCCACCAACTTGGACTCCTCTTTAAATCTCCTTCTAGATCCATCTACTACTGGATCTTTTTCAAGCTACAGATTTTTCCAAGCAATTTTCCACGCATCCTGTCCAAGCATTTTGCCCACCACTTTAACGAATGCTTCATAAATGCAATCGCCTGGTTTGACTATTTTCCTCCCACGTATCTTCTAGTGCTGACAACATCCTTCCTACAGATGACCTTGACAGGGCCACGACGTACTTGAAGATGGTGCCATTTCACCATACGATAGATACTGTCAGGTTTGATAGGTGCTCTGCAATATGTACGTAGAAGATGAGGTGATTTATTGACTGCCTTGGTTATGGTTGGCCTTTCCTGTAAGTCCCGTTTCAAGGACACCAATATGATTATTCTCATGGAGAGCCTCGATTGATGAAGTCATTCTTTTCAACCTTCCTTGAGAAAGCGACCCGCGGCCATTGAATCTCTCGTATCGCGGACCAGAAATTAAAGTCATGAACCTTGTTGGTAAAGGTTTACCACCAGGAAACACGGTCGTAGATAATGATGGGTGTCGAGGCACTGGATCCGAGCCTGCTCTCGCTGATGGAGCTTCTTTGAGGAGGAGGTGCTATGCAGTCACCAATCTGTGCACTTCCTCATTTTCAATGCTTTCAATACCCTTGTGTCACAAGTTTTCATCATGCAGACCATCCATTGTCGTCACAGTGTGGTATATGCCGGAGTATTCCTGTAGATTTTTGTGTGTGCAGTTTTGAATCATTGCAATGGCGAGGATTGCACAGCGTGTAAATCACTGAATCATCTCTCAGGGGCAGAATATCGAGGATACGTCTTATTGGATGTAACATGTAGGGTGCCTTCGAGGGCGGCCCGATACGCTCCTCTTGACTTTAGTGAGAGGGAAAAAATGTGCTATGCTGGGCTCTTCTGAAGGTGAATGCACACACCAAGATATGAGGATCGAATTGATGGCGGGAAAGTCATCATTCCACTGCGGAGGATAGTAGGCTTCAGAAAACAGAAGTTTACTTTATTGAGACTGCCTTTCCAAACTGATGCACATGCGACTCTGATAATGATACTTTGGCACGTGGCTCTTCAATGTCAATGCCAGACCTCACACCCATAATGAGTTCCACATGCATCTCTTCTACTCTCTGACTGTCATTACCGAACCCATCTCCCTTCTATCAATCAGCTTCATGACGAGGAAACGCTAGGAGAATCGTGGACGGTGAGGCTGAGCTTGAGGCCTCGACAGCTCAATTTCGCCGCATGATATGGAGGTTGGGTGCCCTGACTGTGTAGCCCGCCATTGGACCTATTGCAAAATTTGCGCCGTGAGAATTATTGTTGCGAGGTACCGAGTATTCTATGAGTATGATGCGTGGCAGGAATAGGCCCTGAGGGAATGGCCACGCTTTCGATCTTCAACTATCCTGTCTTTCGTGCAAAGCTGTTAATGCCTTGTCCAGAGTCTCTAGCTTTCATTCATAGCTTGTGTTCTTGGTTTGAAAAATTCCTCAGATATCACGCGTGTCGGTCTGCTTCTATGACTAATCCTGAATTTGCACCCGACTACCTGGTAGGTAACCATTGAATAGATTGTTCCCTTTGACTGGCATCCACAACCAGCTGCTTTTCCATGACGGCTCAATTTTGATAGTCCAATTTCTTTTCCTGCAATTCTCCAGCTCGGCCCTGATCTACTTCCAATCGTTGCTTGTTTGCGCTTCTCTACAACGTATGATCAGTATCGTCCTTTTCTTCCAAAGACTTTTCGATGTCGCTTGCAAGATTTGACATGGTATATATACTTGGCAGGAAGGCGGAATCATGTAAATGCGCGAAGATGAGATGGAGCGAACTGGGACACTGGTAAGGTAGTCCCGTCCCGGACAATGCTGATTGTTCTGCTCCGTTCGAACAAGGTTCCCGTTCATTCCGTCTTATCTTCAAGTTCAACTTGCCTAGGAAATTCAAATAGATCCATTAAAGTCCATCCATGGCCCTCGGTATCTCTCTGTGACATGGGGAAAATGTATGTGCAGTTGTGCACAGTGCACAGTGCACACTACGTTCCGGACCTGAAATTGGCCGAAGATTTAGACAGGCAGCCTGATTTTATGGCCTTCAAGTCCTGGAGAGTGATCAGCCTGGTACCAGTCCACCAGGCCATCAGTTCAAATCTGGTGGCCCTCGACATGTTCTTTTCGTCCCGAATAGAGGTTGACTTTTTCTGCTCACAGGTCACCGGACCCACCTTTTTATGGGTCCCTCCGCTTATCTAGGAACCGTCCCATTCTGGCAGTCCCGTCCCGTCTGGACGGGCTGACTCAGCCATGCCCCTTTTCCAATTCCCCGCCTCAATTTGCATCCTTCCCTGAGTGCTGGCCTCTTTGAACTCCCACTCGCTGTTCCTGGAAGAATCTCTGGTCGCTCTCCTGGTGATTGAATTGGAATCCACGCATTGCTCCTGCCGAGATTGTCATCGCCGCGCGGCTCTCTCAAGACCCTTTTCGCCCGGTTCCGTCCTCACGTCAACACGCCAAGATGGGTGCTTCCGTGTCCAAAATGATGGGGAAGATCTTCGGCACGAAGGAGATGCGTATCCTCATGCTGGGTTTAGACGCTGCGGGAAAGACTAGTGAGTGGCATGCTGATCGACTCGGAAACAAGATTCAATGCTAACAAGATGGCAGCTATTCTCTACAAATTGAAACTTAGCAATCAGGACGTCACCACAATCCCTACTGTCGGATTCAACGTCGAGAGCGTGACCTACAAGAATGTCAAATTCAACGTGTGGGATGTCGGCGGCCAGGACAAGATTCGTCCTCTCTGGAGGCATTACTACTCGGGTACACAGGGATTGATCTTCGTGGTGGACTCCAGTGACACAGCCCGACTCGAGGAGGCTCGGTCAGAGCTGCACAAGATCATCAACGACCGTGAAATGAAGGACGCGCTGCTTTTGGTCTTTGCCAACAAACAAGATATCGCCGGGCGTACGTTTTGTCCACTTCTGCAGCGCCTTCCTCCACTCGGAGGATCCAGGGCTCTCCCCACTTCGTGCGTCCCCTGACTAACTCTGCCGCCCTTGTCTTAGATCTGAGCCCCGAGGAGATTACTCAACAACTCCAATTGACCAAGCTGAAGGACAAGTTGTGGTATGTCGCACCCAGCGTTGCGACGGACGGGACGGGTATTTTCGAAGGCCTTGTAAGTCTCCATCAACCTTTCCCTTTTTCTTGTTCGGCTTGTCCATTACGATGATGGCCGCCGTGTGTCCGATTGCCGACCGACCAAAACAATCGCTGACCCGCATGTGCTCCACTTTTCAGGCATGGCTCTCGAACAACGTCAAAACCCAAACCGCAAAATAGATAATCTTTTGCTCCGCCGTGACCTTGAGAGGCCATTCTCTTCGGTCTTGTGTACAACACCTCGCATTCGACACATTTCCCGCTTCTTTTTTCGACTAATGTCCCTGCTTTTATGACAAGACGATGCCGTCACCGGAACAGGATCTCTTCTCCTCTTTTCCGGCATAATAATTTCCTACTTTTTCCCCTATGTTCTTTTTCTCCTTGGTCCATTTCATTTGTCCGCAGCTGCATTCTGTTCCTCTCACATGGTTCCACATGGTGCCACCTGGCCCATTTGCTTCTCTTCTCATCTATGATATCCCCTCTGTTTCTCATGCGGAACTCAAACCCGAGCCCGCAATTACATATTTAATATTGTGATAATAGGTTCGCTATATCATGCCGGCATTGGCACTGTTCGACTTTGTGAAGTCAGCTTCCCGGACAGTTTCTCCTGATGTAACTAGATTTTGACTAGCTCATTCAGGCAACCACGCAGGACATGTATGACTCGTCAGTTGAGATAGACAGGTTCTGCATTCCATGGTGAGGATCGCGTTCCCTGTATTCTCACTGTCAGATATTGCGGAATCGAGATCCGAGCCGTAATGACCTGTGGAAACGTCGCAATTCAGCTCCGTAGAACTGGGGGCATGTCATTTCGATGTTAGCTGAACCGGAGTCGGGTCATGTCGGCACTGTTCTCCCCAGCCCGGGGTTTCCACTGATCTATCTGGTAGGCTACTATGCAATATACCTACATTGAGTAGCTGACTCCTGACGCTCCCTTTGCCATCTTCTGGATATCGATTTTATAGCGAGGGTTTGAGTCAGATTGACGTGAAGCGATGCTGACATCGATCCTAGCCAGGCCTTTCAGAATCGCCACCATTAGCTATAAAAACATGACCATCTGAATCTCGTAGAGCCTAGTTTCTCGACCCAAGCCGTTCTGAGTGATCTGCAACCGGACATCTTCTCATATCTTGATAACCTGCCCATCTCTGCTCTCCTTCTCGAGTTCGAGTCCTTCCCTGCCCAAGAAAAGAAAGATACCTTCTGAAAAGGGAAAATGCCTGCCTTCCAAGCCGGACAGCGAGTCAGCTACAAGCCCGTGGGCGGTTAGTTTTCTTCCCCCCTTGACATCCATCGGGCCTTTATACGGGGCATGGTGATCTTTCACCTATTTGTGAAACTGACATGACTCGCCCACTTACAGGACGCGAGTCT